ATACCTTTCAGTGTCTAATAAGTCTTACCTTTAAAAGTCTACAAATCACTTGACTGCCTACCTAAGTGTAAGAATGTATAGCATACCTTTCAGTGTCTAATAAGTCTTACCTTTAAAAGTCTACAAATCACTTGACTGCCTACCTAAGTGTAAGAATGTATAGCATACCTTTCAGTGTCTAATAAGTCTTACCTTTAATAGTCTAACAAGTTACTTGAATGCCTACTTATGTACAGAACACCTGATGGTGACAGCAAATTACTTGAATAATATCATCACTAAATATGATATATGTGAATAAACTATATCATAAAACTTGTAAATAATTAACTTTTGAGTGCAGTATCTCAAACAGTCAATAATGATTAAAGAAAATTTTCTAATTTGAAGTTTTCTCAACATCAAAGTATTTCACATTAGTGATCAAATTATTAATGGTGAGCTTTACATGGTAAAGAGTTAACAATTAGAAAAAAAAAATTATGAAGCATATTTAATTACATTATCAACATAGCATGTACAATACAACACAAAATCAAAATGTTTTCTTGAAACAATTCCTGTTTTCATACACACATCACTCTAACGTTAAAATGGAGCTTTCAAATTGAAATAACAGACTGTGAAAAGTACATTTTTACCTAACCTGACACAAGTTTTTTTTAGTAATTAATTTCATATTCTTCACTTATGAATGATTACGTGAGCATCAATTCTGAACAGTAAGTTGAGTAACTTATTCCAGAAGATTCCGAAATACAGTGGGTGTGACAAAAGAGAGTGATAAGATGTCTGGCTTATTGGCTAGAAACTTCTGGAAGATGTAACAGAATGGACAGGAAGAGTCAAAATTATTTGGGTTAATAAGAAAAGTCTAGAAGGCTCAGCATTAAAGGTAGCATATAAAAAGTCCCATCATTAAATGCAAGGCAAAATCCAACAGCTCTTGGCAACTCCTGCCTCACCATCAAGTCACTTTTTAGGCATCTTATAAAATAGTACTTACTAAAAAGTTTAAATGTCAACATTTTAATTGTGTTATTTCTTATACGCCAAATATATAAATCAATGTAAAATATTTTTGCTGAGTGACTGGCATATTTTGAGAAAACCCACCAAGAAGGTTAACTAGAGCTGGTTTATTGGATCAAAGGAAATAACACAACTCTGTTATAGTATTTATTAATATTGGAAAACAAACCTACTCTCAATTTAAGTAATGGAAATTCTTTCAACTTACCATAAAATAGCTTTACAGAATTTCTTGGTGTTCTTCTTACACGTTGGCCAATCCCCTCCGATTCTTGAACACATTCACGTTGTGCAAAGTTTGTTTCACAGTCTTGCTTATTCCCATCATTGTTGTCCATTAGGCTCCTTTCATCTTTTGATACTTCTCCATTCTCATCTGATGACTTTAAAGTTTTTTCTTTATTATTTTCAAAGGGTAAAACTGTCACGTGTCCCATTTCTTGGTTTTCATTTCCTGCCAACTGTTGTAAACCTTCGATGGCAGTGGATATTGCAATATTCATAAAGCTTTCGTTATCCAGATTTGTTTCTGATGTCCCATATTGGGTCTTCAATTCCTCATAAGTATTCTTGTACTGATCAAACCGAATATCATTTTCTTCTAAGCTTTCCAGAATAAAGTACAAACAACGTTTGCTACTTCTGTATAAATCTGTAGAATCCAAATGGCTTAAAATCACACACTCATTAATTGTTCGCCATGCCACAAATGTCAATAAAGCTCTTAAGTCCCCCTCACGATGTGCTATATCATAGCTAACCCAGTTAGGTAGGAACTTTAAAATAAACTCTTGGTGGAGGTTCCACTGTTTGTCAGATAGAAATTGCTCAATTTTGTTTCGAGGATATTCAAGAATTTCTTGCTGTTCCAAGACATCTTTCATATTATTCTGGATGAATATTACAGCAGTTTTTACCAGATTTGGCATGTTGTATTTCTCACCAAGTTCCTTAACATTTAAACAACTGCTTATATCTAAATACCTTTCAAGGTATTCAGCACAGTAATTCTTTACTCTTGTAACGAGAAAGTGGTTGGCAAGACGCAAAAGTTCATTAACATTGCTTTTATCAATTACTACATTTCCAGTGTACATATAGTTTAACAAGGATTGAAATGCACCTTGATTCTGACATGTTACTGTTAACTGTTCTTTCACAATTCTATGCATTTTTAAGACCGAGTCAAAATAAGGACTGCAAGCAGCGAGAACATTGCGGTGAGCTAGAAACTGTTTGCCTTGAACATGCAATATTACATCACAAAACCTTCCAGACTCTTGCTGACAACGTAATCGTTCCAAAAGTACATTCCCTTGCTGATTTTCTGTAAAATTCATTGCATTATTTGGAAGAAGAGTTGAAAGGGCCATTCTTAATTTCTGGAAATAACCAGTTCCAAATTATTCATCTGTTTATGTAGTGTAAAAATAGATGCGTAAGTTCCAAATTATTTACTGTTTATAAAAAATGTATACAAAACTACAGACTGTAAACAATTTTTTAAATGACCATTATTTTAATGCTAATAAAATTACTTTTTTAATGGACTCTACATTAATTTGATGAGGTATTTGAATAACACAATTACCATGTAGAATACTGGAACTGTGAAATGAGCTTAAGTCCATTTCACAATGCACCAAAATATTCAAGGTATTTATCTAATAATAATGACTGGAGTCACTATATGCTTAGCTTTCCCCTAAAACATGCTTCAAGTTCAAATTTTTTCCACACAGCTAGATCCTTGTTGGTGTAGACGAAAATTGCTTAAAGCACACTTGGACAATCATTAATAATAGTAGATCCTTCCTTCTTCTTGTGTAGTAATAACTTCCGTTGTTTTTGTGTGTTTATTTTATTTTAGAATAGTGGTAGTAGAATTCTAAATCAAAACTGACAAAAGCATCCTTAAAATTATCAATCGTTAACGGAATTTGTACACAACCTTAACTTCATAGTTGGATAAAAGCAAACGTAGAGTTGTCATAAACGATACGATAAACCGTATTTGAACATTAAAATAAACAGATATTTTCTACCTAACATTATTGATTAATAATATTAATAACGGATACATCCAAGAGAAAATATTTCACAATGAAAAGAAAATTTCTTATGATTATCGACGTTCAATAGTTAGTCAACTACTAACAGTAACAGCAAAACTACAGTACTTCGAGTACTAATTTAGCGTGTATATAGTGTAAATGTAACTTTGCTAAGAATAATACTAATAATAACACTAAGAGTAAAAGTAATAAAACTCGAGTACGACAAAGTTCAACCTCAATTCACTTTCTCTAGTCAAATCATGTTGTAATACAACTTTAAAATTTCTTTGAAAACACTTTAAATCTTATTTACAACTGAGTTAAACGTTATGTAACAGTAAATTCTAGCTTTACATGCCAAATAAATAAAAGTATATTAACATTTAAAATACACCACGAATTTGATACCTAACCCTAATCTGATAGTACCGTAAAAACGCCATTGACAAAAAAACCCACACCCTCGAAGCCGATGACAATGTATACTCTTTACTGCCATCTATTGATTTTTTTAAATGTAAAAATAACACTGGCAGAATAACCTTACGCAGTACCCATTTTTCAAACCACGTGTTATTATAACATTACATTATATATATAAAATCAAAAATTATTTTTTATATTATTCATTTTTATAATAGCAAACATATACAACACCAATATCCAAACAGTTTGAAATCATAATATCATCAAACTAAGTTTAAAAATACACAAGACGATTGTACGTATCACAAATACATCATTTATTACGACGATGGTTTCACCAACAAAGGCATCATCATCAGATACAGATTGAAATGTTTTGTAGCAGGGTTTATATATATATGTTTCAACTAAGAACCAGAAGTGATCTTGACATTCATCTAGAGACAAGTGGGGAAGAGCTTAAGTTGGTTTGGTCGTTTAGAGCTTTTTTCTGGATTTGTTTTTAGACATCTGTATATATTTCTAAAATTTCCAGACTGTATAGTTTTCTACTTTTTTTTAACAGATATGTAAAATGTTGCAGTTTTTTCTGGATCAAATTGGTGTTTAGTTTCAATAAGGTGGGATGGAAAAATTGAATCCATTTTCCTTAATTTCCAGCTTCTAGAATGTTCTTTAATTCTCGTTTCTATGGGACGCCCTGTTTGACCTATATATACACTGTTGCAGTCTTGACACGTTAATTGGTAAACACCACTGTTGCTGTACTTTTTGATTCTGTCTTTGTTGTTGCACAACATTTTTCCTAAGTTGTTTTTACAGTAGAAGGCTGGTCTATATGTTTCTTTGTTCAGTGTGTTATATATTTTGTGAGAAGGTTTTCCAGTGTAGCTCATCTTAAGCCATTTCTTTTTGTTGTTGTTTGGTACAGTATGTGGGTATATTGATTTTAATTTTATGGCTTTAAATTTTTTAAGCTACAATGTGTTAATTAACTTTGTTGTATAACCACTGTTAACAGCAATTTGTTTTATAGTTTTTAATTCAGTTTCGTAATCTTCAGATGACAAGGGTATAGTGATAAGTCTGTGTAACAAACTATGGAACATAACATGTTTATAAGATATTAGATGTCTTGAAGTAAGTCTGTGTAACAAACTATGGAACATAACATGTTTATAAGATATTAGATGTCTTGAAGAAGCATGCATGATGGTGTCACTATAAGTTGGTTTTCTGAAGATTTTGAAGGAATGTATGACGTTATTTATGTCAATATTTAAGTCCAAAAATTAATGTTTCCGTTTTCACCAAAGTATATGGTAACTTTAATAAATACCAATATTTAACATGTTTTGTAGAAAGTAGGAAATGTGTTATGAAGAAATTCTCGTAACTCATACAAGTATTCAAACTTTGAAGGGAGAAGAACAGCAGTGAGTAGGGTGAGAGTATGGAAAATATATTAAAAACAATCTTATGGCTTTTGTATTCAGCATGATATGAAAAACTAGAACGTTTCCACCCGGGGACTGTTTGAAGACCCACTATCTAACCTGATGTATCGAACCACAATGTTTGTCAAAAGATATGAAGATATTCCTCGTTTCATGAAGTTTGAGGACAAGAGACTTTCGTCTGCAAAAAAGACCACATGGCAGCTTTTAGATACTTGTGGGATTTTCTTCTTGCTAAGAGGTTTGTTCTCAGTGATTGTGTAACAACTGAGGAGCAGTCGATGCCCATTAGGTGGCGATGCAAATTCACTCAATACATGTCAAGCAAGCAGCCCGTGAAGAGTGTGATAAGGATTTTATGGCTTTGCGATGCAAGAAACTGCTGTGCTATAGATGGAGTTGTCTTCACTGGAAAAAGCCAGGTGAAGAAGTCTAGAGAATATGGGATCAAACATCGTACAGCAGTTCTGCAGTTGTACAGTCATTTGAGAACACTGTTCGCAACATAACAACAAATAATTTCTTCACAAGTATGCCCCGTGCTGAAGCACAAATCCAGAAAGGACTGACACTTGTGGGGAAGCTTCACCAAAACAAGACAGATATTTCTGCTTTTATGAAGCTTCCAAGATTAGAGAAGTTCACTATACTGAATTTGGTTTCAAAGACAACATTACTAGTGATTTATGTATTCAAGAAAGGCGAGGCTGTTATTATGCAGAGCACAATACATTACGACAGGACAGTAGATAAACAGGACGAGAAAAAGAAACCAGATGTCATCAAGTACTACAACGGTACAAAAGATGGCGTCGACGTGATGGCCCAGATGGTGGTCTATGGTTTTGTGGTACAATGTTCTAGATGTGAGTAGCTTTAACGCTTGGTAGCTGTACATATCACAGCATCCAGACTATGTACAAGGCTTGATGCATAAGCCATGCTTGTTCTTAAAATAATTTGTAAAGGAACTAGTCACATCACACAAAGAAACTGGTAATTTGTATAGGAACTGGTCACACCACACAGAGAAACTGGTAATTTGTATAGGAACTAGTCACACCACACAGAGAAACTGGTAATTTGTATAGGAACTGGTCACACCACACAGAGAAACTGGTAATTTGTATAGGATCTGGTCACACCACACAGAGAAACTGGTAATTTGTATAAGAACTGGTCACACCACACAGAGAAACTGTTTGGAAGGCAGTCCAAACCTTCCTAAAACTGTCGTCGCCTCAATGGAGAAGTGTGATGATGCAAGAACGCATACCATATAACCAAGAACATGCCCCCCCCCCCCGAAGAAGAAAAGAAGTGATTATTGTTCTTCGAAGAAAGGCCGCAAAAGCTCCATGACATGCATAAAATGTGAACGCCATGTGTCAAAAGAGCACAACTACATTGTGGGTGCCAATTTCCTGGAGTGAAGAAGACTTTTTTGTGTGAAAAAGACTTCTTTGGTAATTTGTCTCTTTATTACATAGCATAAGAGGTGGAAAAAAGAAGAGCCATAACATATCATAATCCCCCCTAAATAACACAGCGGTAAGAGCTTACATTGCTAAGAATCGGGTTTCGATACCAGATGTGGGTAGAGCACAGATAGCCCATTGAGTAGCTTTGTGCTTAACAACAAACATCACATTTAATAACATCAAAGGAACTGTTGGCCCATTTAGACTTATGCATTTACTAAACTAAACTATAAAAAAAAATTCAAAGCCAGCCCTTATCATTCAAATATTTATCAATCCTTCCCTTAAACCCCTTAAATTTACTGCTTCCACTACATCTCAATGTAACCTATTCCAAAGACCAACAACCTTGTTATAAAATAAAACTGTTTTAGCTGAAAGTGACTGTTATCCTACCAATATTCTCCTAATTAAGTACGAAAAAAAGATGATTCATCGACACCATCTCTTCCTTTAAAATTTAAAAACCCCAATCTGATCCCATCTAACTCTTCTTTCTTCCAAAGAAAACAAGTTCAGAGATCTTAAGCTATCCTCGTATAACAACCTTTCCATCCCAGGTATCATCCTAGTAGCCCTCTTCCGAATTCTTTCATGCATATATTATAATTGAAAAATATCATCTATTTATTGACTCAACTCACAAAGTTATATAAATCCTTCTCTAAATCAACAGTATCTTTAACACAGCTAGCAACACCCTTAATACTATTAGTAAATTCAAGTAATTTATTGACCATTCCTTCACCTAAGTTATTGACGTAAATCGAGAAGAATAAAAGTCGTAGCAATGAGCCCTATGGTACTCTACTTGTAACATTATAATAGTAACAATTTAGTCTACCCTTAAAACTAATTCTGTAATTTATTCCTACTCTACACTTTTCTCTGTATCTTATTTTTTCTGCATTTAGTTTATCCTGGCTCTCACCAATGTCTAGTCCTAGTTTCAAACAGCTCTTACAGCTGAGTTAATATCCCTTACAAACAAGCCAGATCCTACCCTTTGTAAACCATTTATTCCAAAAAGCTCCGTTTCTCCATTTAACTGATCCTACAAGTCTAGCTAGCCAATCTGCTCGTCTTTACATATTAACTTAAGCCTAGCTTTCAGCTCTAGTGATATATTTATAATTTCGTCTCCACATTTAAGTCTCGGCAGTATCCCTGAGGAATCAAGTTATGGTCCTTTATCAACCTCCTGTATCATCAGTTAGCTCCTCTGACCTACCCTTCCCTACATCTATATCCTCTATGGGTGCTACAAAGATTGCATCACTAGATTAGCTCCCCAGACCTACCCTTCCCTACATCTATATCCTCTATGGGTACTACAAAGATTGCATCACTAGATTAGCTCCCCAGACCTACCCTTCCCTACATCTATATCCTCTATGGGTGCTACAAAGATTGCATCACTAAATTAGCTCCCCAGACCTACCCTTCCCTACATCTATATCCTCTATGGGTGCTACAAAGATTGCATCACTGCATTAGCTCCCCAGACCTACCCTTCCTTACATCTATATCCTGACCCATAGAGGATATAGATGTAGGGAAGGGTAGGTCTGGGGAGCTAATCTAGTGATGCAATCTTTGTAGCACCCATATAGAGGATATAGATGTAGGGAAGGGTAGGTCTGGGGAGCTAATCTAGTGATGCAATCTTTGTAGCTGGGTACTACAAAGATTGCATCACTAGATTAGCTCCCCAGACCTACCCTTCCCTACATCTATATCCTCTATGGGTGCTACAAAGATTGCATCACTGCATTAGCTCCTCTAACTTACCCTTCCCTACATCTATATCCTCTATGTATACTACAAAAACTGCATCAGTGCTGGAACCCTTTACTATATCTCTTGCTCTGTCGGTTATATTCTCGACCCCTGCCTCTTGTTAGTATAAGTTTTTTTCTCTCTTTCTCTATTTACTCTCATAGACTATCTTATGTACGTGAAATATCAAATAATCACCTATAATTATAACGTCCCTCTGTCATTTTTGTTTTTATTCTTTCTCCACTGCACAAGTTAAAAGCTGCAACCTGTTA